AATTTCAAATGCATAATTTAGTAATCTGTAAAACTTTGTGAGCATCATTTTCACACCTTTCACAAACACAAACTGATATCTGATTTTCACCCATAAGCACTCAGCCTGGTCATGGCTGTTACTCAAATATAGCTCTTTGCAATCTATCCACTTCCATACATAGAAGGCAATGCCCCCTCCCTTCCTACCCTGTCTATCCCTTCTGAAGAGCCTGTAGCCTTCAATCAGAGTATTCCAGATGAATCCCAATCAGTGGGATTCCCACCACATTTCTGTGATAGCAACCAGATCATAATTTTCCAGGTACATCACTGTTTCCAACTCCCCCTGCTTATTTCCCATGCTGCATGCATTAGTATAAAGGCGTTTCATCTGGGCTTTCTGACACACTACCTTTCTGGAGGGTCCCTCCCTCAAACCTCTGAAAGAATTCTCAAGTTTTCCTCCACTAATTCCTGAAGGTTTCAGGCGGGGGGTCAGCAACGTTACCTCTTCTGAAGAGTCCCCAGAAGACCCTACAGAGCAGTTCAGAGGCCTATCCCCGCCATCTGCTACAATGGGAACATCCCCAGGCTCTTTTCTGTCCCGCTGACCACCACCCTCTTCCCCCATCAAATCTAGAAAATTCTGAACTACTTGTTCCACCCTAAAAAGCGTCATTTTATCCCCATCCCCCTTCATACCTAGTTTAAAGCTCTCTCAATGAGCCCTGCCAGCTGCTGGGCCAGGGTCTGTTCTCCCCATGGAGACAAACAAGACCCATATACAGCCATCAGTCCAGGCACCAAGTAAACTGCCCCATGATCAAAGAACCCAAAGTTCCTGTATCTGCAGCAACTTTTTCAGCCACATATTCAAAGCCTGCATTTTCCTAGACCACTCCATATCCCTCACCACCTCAGAACAGAGAGAGAAAAATACCACTTGTGCACCCAATCCTTAAGCCATTCACCTTAAACACCTGAAATCCTTTTTGATAGCTTGCAGGCTTCCCTGAGCAGTTTAATCACTGCCTACCCAAACTATCAATCACAGGTGGTAATCAGAGGAGCAATCCAGACCCAGGAGTTTTTCTAGTGATGTCCCTGACGCAGGCCCTAGGGAGGCAGCACACCTCCCTACAGGTCGGGTTTGCAAATGGGACCCTCCGTTCTCCTGAGAAGGGAATTGCCCACCACAATTACCCTCCTGTATTTCCTGATCGAAGCAGTCGCAAGGTGTGGGGATGATTGCTTCACCCTAGGCTCCCTCCTAGACAGATCCCCCTCACCTCCCTACTCATCCCCCCTTCAATTTTCAGCATCTCAAACATGTTCTTCAGTGGGACCTGAGGAAGCAAGCAGGCAGGGGTTGCACCTGTGATGCTGAGCTGGGACTCTCAATCCTCTTCATCTGTCAGGTCTGTCTGACTGTGACAGGGCAGGGGGCCCACACTTTTCTGGGGGTATCTCCCTGGCACCCTTCCCTCTGGCACGCCAGCGAGTCACTCCACCAGTCAACCTCCTGCTCACATTCCCTGATGGCCCTTAGCCTCTCCACCTCCTCCTTGAGCTCCACCACCAGGCAGAGCAGCTCATCCACCAGCTTATACCTTACACGGGTAGAATCCCAGCCTGTCTGCCACCCTCCCTCTGGCAGCAGCAGGCTCAGGCACTCCTTGCAGCCAGAGACCTGAACATCCACAGTTCTGGGCAGGCCATATGTTTGAATAGTCATAGCTTTTTGGAGCAAGCCCGCTGTCTTGTAGATACTATGTTTAAGCCTATGGTCTCAGAGACTGCCAAGAGAGCTGGTCTCCTGAGCAAAGAAGGACAATGCTTACACACCCTGCAGTCCCCGCTAGCTTAGCAGCCCGCCCACAAGCTGCCAGCCCTCCAGCACAAGAACAGAGCTGTTGCTGGCTCCAAAAAAGCCCTAAAAAGAGCTTTTTCTCAGCCTTGCCCAGTGCAGTCTTACCTGCCCTGTAGCTACTCTCTGCAGCAATAGAAAACAATTATGAGATGGATGATCATGAGCTGAATCATTCTTTATCAAACTGCAAGACACACAACAGGTCTGCCCATGACTAACATTCGGGATTTTAGAAGAAATTAAAGAAACCATACAGCATGAATTCGGGAACACAAAGCTTTTAAAACATAAAAATTTAGGAATTTAAATCAAAAGGCCAGATACTATTTTTAGTTTGCACTGCACGCCAGAGAAAAAGCTACTAGAAAAAAAAGCTTATGGCATTTCTTCACTAAATCGGCTCCTTTTGTACTCATGCAAATCTAAGAACAAAGAGCGCCGTTTCTCACAAGTCAAAGACTGCAGAAAGAAGAAAAATGGCTGAGAGATTTCTTCAGCTAGACTTTACACTTAACAACAATTCTTTACAAACGTTTAAAATAAAGAAGCATCTGAAAGAAAAAAGATGCAGCACTGCAAAGATAGTGTAGAGATTAATATCAACCCGCATATTAAATGCATATTTTGCCTCAATTTTCTATAAAGTTAATGATGAGGACATTAGTGGAGTAAAGAATGAAAATAAAGACAGAACATCAGAAATTATGATACCTCAGAGAGAAATAAATGTTAATATTCTGAATACCTCCTAAAGCAAATATAAGAAGGGCTGAATAATCTCCCTGTTAAAATGGGATGTATGGAATAGTCATAGATGTGTGGAATGATGTATGGAATAGAAGTATGGAATAATCAAGCAAGACTGCATGTCCTGCTATATTATAATACATAATGCTATATTATATAGTATATTCATATTTAATATTATAAGTAGTAACTATTCTATTTGTGGTATCTCATGAACTGAAATCAGTAAATGCGGGTACTACATTCAAAAGAATGGGTACAAATAATGACATATTAACTGACTTCGTCAAAACTAAGTCTTTGGACAGATTCTGAATGAAGAACTAAGGCACAGAGAGAGAAAAGGAAAGCAGTATAAATTACAATGTGGCTTTATCAACAGTAGATTGCAACAGATCAATCTATTCTCTCCTATTCCACATACCTGATTTGTTAGACAGTAGAACATTATTTATCAGGGATTAAAATCAAGAATTTGATACAGTTTACACACAGAAAAGATTTGCTAAAGGTGAAGAAGGCAGGTGCTAATACTTTTCTGAAAGCTCTAAGGCTAGAGGTATCAACAGATAATTGCCTGGGAGGCCATGATATAAGGAGTGGTTGCTAGATGTTTTATCAAGCAAACATCCTGTTTAATAAGTTATTCAAAGATCGTAAGGAACAATGCAGATGAAATTAGCAGAGAATATTACCATATTGGTTAGACTGATAAAATGAGATTGTTATACAAGGGTAGAAAGAGCAGATACCTCTACTTGTGGAAGAAGTTGATTACACAGATTAAAAAACAAAACAAAACAAGAAAAAGGAGGTACGTTTGTCTGCCTATTTGAGGATGATCATTTCCATCCAAAGCTACGAATGAGCCAACGAATTCACAAATGTGTGAGGAAAGACATTTGTCGTGAGAGGAATGGAAAGACCTAATTGTGTACTGTTCTGGTCAAATAGTTTTATTGAAGATAAAGAGAACTTTAGCTGCAATAACTGCAAAGAATTGCAATACAGATTACAAAACTAATACTATCTGCACAAGATCGTATAGTAATAAATCAACTGTAAACGCATCCCTAAAAGTTCAGGAAGAGGATTCCAAATAGAGTAATGAAAGCTTTAAAAAAAAAAAAAAAATCTATAATTTTGAAATGTAGACGACCAATAGGCTTATAGAAGGTATTTTATAAATGGATAAAAGACTTGTTTGAAATAAGAGCTCTTATTCTTCATAGAAGCTTTCCTGGTTAGCTACTTGTACCAAAGAAGTTACATGCTAAGGGATTTACCCAAACCACATATCCAAGAGGACTGGTAACGACCTAATCGGAGTCAGAAATGAATTATTTCCCTGTGGTTGGTCCGTGGCATTCACTGGTTGAATTTTAGTCTACTTTTCCACATTCCTCGCTGTGGAGTGAGGCAGCATAGGCTAAATTCAGGTGCGAGTCTAATACCATAATGGTGCAGGACATGGGACACTGGTGATCATTAGCATTGTCTTTCTGAGACTTGCTGCATTTGTGCCTTGGCCCTTGTCTTACAAATCTTAACGTTATGGAGTAATCAAGAACGTTTTGTCACAAGTGGCATACGGTGGCACATTAGCAGATATTTGCAAAACTTACTGTTTTGCAGCCATTTGCATGATTGCACACAGACCACTGAAACTGGACCGGCACCAAATAGCTTTCCTGTGTACCAGTAGAGTTAGAAAGACCAAAATTCATCTCCCTGATTTCAGACAGATGCTCCAAATCAGTGTGCCTGATTTTAAATTTGAAAACAATGTGAAGAAATTCTTTAAAATATGTATAGATACATCACATCAAAGTAGTGTAACGGGGGGAGTGGGAGGGCAAAAGGTTATCTGGCAACTGAAGAAAAGTAAGAAGCACTTTTTATATTTGAATTAATAGAAAATTCTCTGTAGGTGAACAGGTAAAAGCTATCTTAATAATTTCTCTTTTTGCCTTTAGGGAGGACAGCGATAGACCGAGCATGATACTGAGTGATATAAATGGATCTTTTTACATTTTAAGTTGCCAGAAGTTTACACAGTTTGTTGCTGTTTCTGAAGCCTTCTTGTCACAGTTCTTGTTCTATTAAAAAATGTGTAGTAATTCAGAAAAAAGTTTTTCCCCTTTAATTGATTTGCCTCACATGGAAACAAAATTCTTTCTTGTTATTAAGTGTCACTTGAGAGTATTTCTTCTACAGCTGTTTGGGGGACATTTTGCTCCCGTTACATGTAGCTACACATATATGCTTTTTCCTAGCAGTAGCAAAATCTCAGTGAATGCTTCTCTCAGCTTGCTTTTGTATCATCTGGGACTCAACAATATCATAAGCGCTGTTGTTTAACAAGTGTGAAAAAAAGAGAAAAAAAAATTATTGCCACTTACCAGACATGCCACTGTGCAAAGACTTGCTGACCTTGTTGGAAAAATCAGGGCAATTGAGACTTGTCTAGTTATAAGGAATCATCCTTTAGACATGGAGTCAGCGTGGGTGGTTCCGTTCACACCTTCAGCTACTGCAGCACATCTCTACCTCCAGGCCTTTCTATATCCTGTTTTGAAGATAGATGGAATTCTGAAATTGCATTGGACTCAGGCAGGCTCCCAGACACTCTCAAAACTTGCAGGTCTCCTCAGATCTGGAAATCACAAAGGACCACCTTCCAAGGTCTGGAACAGCAGCCAGTTAACTCTAAATTGAAAAGGCAAAAGACAAACACAAGAATACTTTACATAAATCTTATCATCATTTACCTGGTTCTATTTATGCATTACATAGAATGAGTTGAGTATTTCTTAGAGTCACATAAGATACCTTTCCCAACTTCCAATAGGATTGCCTTGCTGTCAAAGCAATTCTTATCCCTAGTCTTCTTTTTAACAGTCTTCCACTTCCCAATGTTTGTCTCGGTAATATATTGCACTGTTGCAAGATAGATGAAGCTGCTCCCCGATCCTACCTCCTGGGTGTTCATATTGCTCTCAGAAAACAGTTAGACTTCGCCTTGGTTTCACACTGCTTCCCAGTGTCATCTGCTCTTGTGGCACCAGAATTTTGCTGGCTTAATTTGAATCTTTATCAACACAGACAACTTTAACCTAACTTTCTTTTAGACAAGGAGAAATTCTGATCCACATAGAGAAAAACGAGGGATATAAAATGATCGTGAAACTCAGCATAAACACTGTCCCAGTTGCTCACACGTTAGAATATATCACCAAATGCTGCAGTTCAAACAACAGATCTAAAGTCATTTGCTATTAGTTTTGCTATTCCCCTCACAGCAGATACGCTCACAAAAGTAAGGGTGCCTCTGCTATATTAAAGCAGAAGTATCAGCTGATTTTTAGCTGAGGGCTATAGACCTCTCTGCCTGCAGGGCAGGTAGAAACCTGTGCTCACTCTAAGCTTAGCATTTCCTGCCTTTAAGCTTTAGGAATTAAGCTCCACAACTTTGAAGGCGGAAGAGATAATTCCTTGTTTTAGACCAGCTTTGAAAGATCTCCCTATCGAGCTTCCTTTTGTAGGTTCTAAGCATAACACAACCTTATATTTTCCTGTTAGATTCTTCTTTGGAATTAATTGATTGTTGAAAGGTATTGGACTATTATTATACATATGATAACACCTTGAAATAGTTAATTTAAGCAGATTTTAACAACATTTTAACAGCTGAATTAATCACTCTTATTTGAAAAGTGATCTGCACGCCACCATCAGCCACTCAGCTCCCACTTTGGTAATATCTTATAAGCCATGTCTTGGATTATTCACAGCATGAGATGGAAAAGAATGATGAAAATACAATGTTGTTACATAAAATTTTCCTTATTCTATGCAAAGATTGGTGTTGATTGCCCACTGGAAGAAAAAAAAAAGCAATTAAGAACACGAAGGATTGAGATAAATTATTAAAAACATTACAAAAATGGATACCATAGACATCAATGCTGACATTCATCATTGATAGCATAGACTATGGTCATTTATCAGAAACATGACAGCAGTATACATGCATTTTTAGAAAAGTCAAGACATTTAGAAGTCTTGAAGCTTGAATCAATGTTATAGCTTGTCATCTGTGCAAACAGTAATGAATATGAACTCTTGTACAGAAATTCCTCTTCTCCTTGCACCTTTAATTTAGTTATGCAAAGGAGCTCTGGAAACACTCCGTATGCTACCATCTGTTTGTATGCTATCTCTATGCATAAGAAGTAGAGAAACTCAGAGGCAACCCTGTCAGTGATTTCACCCTCTTTCAGGCAAATTTCACCATCTCCAAACGCCTTCCCCTTTCTTTCCCCTTTTCTGTTCAGTTCCTCAGATGAACAGTTCCACATCACCTCTATCTTCTGCTTTCTGGCTCCTTGGTGTTGCATCACCTATCATTGATCCCACTATACTGTAAAGCCAGGGGATGCCTGCAGAACACAATCAGAAGTTTCTTTGTCACATCACTTAATTCCCTGGGTTTTTCTATATGTTCTGCTACCTGTCGTTTATTTGGCTACTACTTATTTTTTCCCCTCTCTCCTCCCTTTTTTCACCTTGTCCAATACAATCAACTGTACTCAAACAAATTCTTCATCTAAATGTTTGAAGGATCAGGTGCCTTTGAGAGCAGGCCATCGCTAAAATTTCTAAAGCATAACTGAAGATAAAGAATTTTTTAATTTTGTTTTTCACATTGAAAAACTACTGTTACATCAATTTTAATCACTTTAACCTCACAGAACTTAATTTACAACTTGCCATTTATAACTCCAATATTTCAAGATACCTTACTTCTCCTTCCCCTTCCAAAACAACCAAATAAGTCAGAGATTTTTTCTGCATAAAATATAGCAGAAGCTGTGTTCCAGGAGCTCCCCTATCATTTTGCTTTGCCTCTTTAAACTTTACTCCTTCCATAAGCAAACCATGAGGTTTCATTATTTAGCTTTCCAAATAGCTTCTCCTAGTCATCCATTTAGACTTTCTTTTTTCGTGGAAGTCCTAATTATGTAATTGCCAGAGAAGGTTTGTTGCAAAGAAACACTAACATTATGCTTATGCATTTCCATGGCATTAAATTAAATAATTTTGTCACATACTCCTTAGCTTGACATACACTTTACCTCAGCTGCAGAAAGTATAGTAGAATCTAAGCACAGAAGTTAAAGCCTAAAAATCTGAAGAAAGGACTGAGCACTTCTGAACTGAACTCTCAGTTTTAACAGTTAGTTTCAACAAACTTGGTTTAGTGAGAACTATTGGTGATAGGTGGATGGTTGGACTGCATGATCTTGTAGGTCTTTTCCAACCTTGGTATTTCTGTGAAACCTGTTCTTCACAGTTAGGATTTGTTACAGGAAAAAATAAGCCACTGTTAACACAGTTTAATGCAGGAAGAATTTAACAGTGTTGCAAAAAGAAGCTAGACACTACTCTGTCATCAGCGACCTTCCATAAAGAAATGAAACAAATGAATTCTAGGTAAAAGAAAAAATTGTAATGGAAAAAATGCTCTAGCAATTCTGTATAATGAAATCATGAAAGACTCTTACTATTAATTACAGCTTCTTTTTACTTCACATGTAAAACAACGATACCTGGTGAGTAGGGCATTTAAGTGCTGAAAATGAAATAGCAGTTTGTCACCGTAAGATAATTACATCAGGCTTTTTATAAAATGCAGAATAACTGACAGTGAAGTGGGAAAAGACACCCCAGAGGATGTGAATTTCCCCTTGAGAAAGCACCTAAGTGTATTACCTGTTAATCTGGTTTGGGGATTTCCACTAATTATTCACGCACGAGTTCTGAAGAGCATCAGACACCAGACAGCTTCTTTACTTCTGTGGATCTTCTTAGGATCCAGATTCTCCCATATCTGTAAGCAGCAAATATGTTTGTAATCTTCAGTACTGTTCTTTTTCAATATCCCATTCAGCAACATCTCATCCCTGCTGGAAGACATACTATATACAGAAATCTAATTTTCCGAATGTCTGACTTTTTTCAGCTGATCTTTACAGACACTTAAATATGTCCTTTTTTCTCCCTCAGCATCCTATCAAGGCCCCTGTTAGCAGTGATGTGTACTCTGTGCACATCAGCTCCTGTGTTTGTCCCTTGGGCTCTTCTAGCAAATTCACATTCTGTCTGTAATAGCTGGTGATCTTGAAAGATTTCCAGTTCTAAGTATAAGTGGGAGTAGTGGAGCTCCTTGTAAAACGACACAAAGGTTATTTGGTAATCACATACCGGTCATTTGTCTTCAAAGGCTCTAACCAGAAAGAGATGCGTAAAAGGCCAGGATTTGATGTTCTTTATCTCTCTGATCAAACACGGAAGAAAAAAGAGTGTACTCCTTCTGAAGTCAGTAGGACCTAAACTCAGATTAACTCTGTGCTTAAGGACTCCAATTCATGAGACTTTCCAGTACTTCATCTGTAAGCCAAATTGTGGAGTGTACCTTTACTCTGATGTTGGTCTACTTACGATGTCGGTCAACTGGAGTCAGAAAAATTGGGACAGTGATCTTGAACTGATTAAATGTCAGAGTAATGAATTTCACATGCTGGAACACGAAAACGTCAAGGAGTCCGTTTTTTAAGCACCCCATAACAGAAATGAAGAAGGCCAATGACAAAATTTAGTAATTCCAATATGTGATATTGATGTTAAAAAGAAAACTTCATAGGTGACATCCTGGACAGGCAGATGCCTTTAATTCTCTGATCTCTGCTAGTGGAAACAACAAAGGAAACCAGGACTGCATTTCTTGAGGTAACTGGCATTTGAACCATGAGGGCATCTAAAAGTTGAGAGCGTACTAAGTCTGTATGTGTGACTTTTCATCTATTTTCTCCATTTAAAGCGTGAATCATTTCATCTGGAACTTTGGCTTGACCTGTTCAGTAGGAACGATCAGTGATACGCACGCACATATTGAATGCTTAAAATAAATCACACAAACTTGCTGCTAACACATTTCATTACAAAGTAGGCGCTTCTCTATGGTTAGCAATAGACAACACAGCAGTCCCCATCACTTTTCAACAGTCTCTGCTCTCTGTCCCATTACCCAAACACAGTTACCACTTAGTAATTTTGCTAGTGCTTGTTTTATCGTAGCTGACATAGTACTAACAACAAAAGAACCAGAAGAACTCATCTGTTCTTTCATTGTCCTCAATTCACCATCCTCTTTATGAAGTTTGGGCAATTCAGTAGTCAAGACATGATTAGAAAAACAGAATACCATCTTCATCTTCTGTATAATTATTCAAATATTATATCTTTTCTTAATCATAAACCATTACATATATAAACAAATATTTAAAATGAAAGTGTCATGAAAATTTAGGAATAAATTTTACCATTAAATTTCTCTGTATGAGATCTCCCCACCTATAAAACTGATCTTCTCACCGTGTTTTTTTTTTTTTAATCAACATAATTTAACTGTGTGCATACTGCAGTTACTTGTCTTTATCTTTTGAATGAAAGAACCAAACTGGGAGAAATCAGTCTC